ATTGCATGCTTGTCAAGCTTTATTTCTCACAAGAGATAATGAATTTAAGTCTGTTTTCCTGTTCTGTGTACCAAGGGACATGTCTAATGGATCTAATTAAGCTAATACAAAACTTTCCAGATTATCAAATATTGTTCCATTAAGGAAATAGTATTTGAAATCATATTTTTATTGGGTGAGTTGTATTTGAAGACATAGTGAGTATGTGTTGAATGTGAATACAAAGAGTGTTCCAGTATGACCCAAACTGTTTCTTGCTGTTTAGAAAGCACCTGCCCAGTCTCTGGAAAGGAAGGTGTTGCCAGTCCCCGAGGGTAGGATTTGCATACTTGTAATATGACGTGCTGTCCGTAAGCTGTGCTTTCTAGGAGGGAAAAGAAAAAGTACATTTTATCAAATCTCAAAATACATAATGTGAGGAAATTTTTAATATCTAATGTTATTCTCTTACAGGCTCTAGTTTTGAAATAGACTTTTTTTTTCTTAGTCATTTGGGTGAAGTCATAGTAATGTTAATTGACATTACGCGCTGGCGTAGAACAGCTATGATTCTCTACATTCTTAGAGAACTTTTCTGCTTTTTGTTAGTTGAAGGTCTTTATGTTGAAATGGTAAATTATTTGTGATTACTGATAAAAACTGAAATTAGGTCCTTATATAACACTTTCCCCTCAGTGTCATACTTCTAGCACAGTGCTTCTTGACATGCTGTAGAACTGTATAGGGATGGGACAGTCTAAATAAAGAGGAGGCTGCAATAATATATTGCAAAAGTATGCTCAGGGAGGACTGGAGAAGAGATGAGGTGGGAAACAACTAAGCCAGGATCTCCATGTACACACACTTAGGTCAGAATACAAAGTCTCTATACATTGATATGTGTCACTAACAGTACAGCGGCTCAGTAGGTACAGGAGTAGATTCTGCGCTTGAAGGTCTATCTGGACTAAGTAATTGTGATTAATAAGGTGTATCCCTCTAGGTCCAATGCTGACAGTTCTAAGAGCAGACGGATAAAACAGGTTTTAACACCTTTAAGTTCTGAGACTTTCCCAGATATTATGCTAAATTGTGCGTGTGTTTATTCCAGCAGTGAAACAATCTTTGCCATGGCAGTGGGAGCTGGACAGCAGCTGGTCATTGTCCTGGGGGTGGTAAATGTTCATCCCAAGCTCCTAGGGTTTAATAGCATGAGCCAGAGACTTACAATCAGATATATCTTATCTGTCTTTATTTATAAGCATAGAAGAACTACTCATGTTTTAACTCTAAATTAATCCTTAGAAATATCAATCAGATGTATTGATTCTAATGCAATATTTTGTAGCAAGTTATAAATGAGCATCGTTCAAAGTAATGGAAAGAACTGTTTGTAATGCTATGCAGAGTATGACTGGAAATGTAATTTTTTTGCCAAGTTAAATTAAAACACTTCCTCAAGCTTAAAAAGTCTGAACTGTGGCCCTTCATATGAGCAATATAGTAGAACTACACTTCTTTAAAGAGTGAGTTGTGCAAGTGTTCATGCAATAAAGGAGATGAAAGATCAGCAAAGACTTTAATTGTTCTTTAATTGTCCACAGTGACATGTTTCCAAGTTAAGATGAAAAAGAATATTAAAATAAGTTGCTGTTCTTATGTGACTTGAAAACCATTATAACTGGTGAGTTTTGTTGAGGAATTTCCAAGAAAATATCTTGACATCTTCATGCAGCTCTACCAAAGTGAAGCTCATCGGTAGTTTGTTTCTAGTTAATTTTTTGAAAGGAATTTTCAAGTAGTAGTCATATTTCCAATATGAGAGAGATTCTATTCTGAATGATGGACTACAAAGATGTGTTACTTAAAGCATGCATCGTCTGGTAAATATTCCACCAAAATACAGCATGCTTGTTATTTTCGGGTTTCTTAGCTGTATACAGTAAGTTTTTTGTATGTGTACAGCATAAAATCCATATTGTGTGTACATGTGCACATGTGTATGCAAGAGAGAGAGATAAAAGTGATTGCTAAGTATCATACATGGTTTCCTTCCTCTGTTTTATGTGACAGTGTTTTTGTAGCAAGTTACATTAGGGTGCTTGTAATACATAAAGGTACAGAGTTTTGAAATGTAGCTCACACTGGATTTAACTAATCGCCAATCTGTCGATGATCTTTACCAATTAGCCAGGTTGAACTGTCCTGTATAAGCCCTGTAATACTATTTTGTCTTCCTTATGCTTAAAACTGCAAGTTTGGTCATAAGCTTCCTCTTTCGGATATGCTTCAAAGTCAGATGTGTATCATGTGTCCAGCACAATAAGGAACTTTGTGTCTGGTTTTTATCAGCTTAGCAGAGCACTTCCAGATACCTTGCTGCATCTTGCAAAAAGAGTTGTGAAGGGGGTGAGGTTAAAAAAAAAACTCCAAAGAATTACAAGTGTGAAATATTTCAAGGTTATAAAATCAAACCTAGAAAAGCATTATCTGGTATTGCCATGAATCTGTGTTAGTTTCACATTTAATGCAGATGAGCTGTTTCTTCATGACACCTTTGCTTCATTCAGTGCAGAGGACACAGTTGATGTTCTTGGTTTCTGCACAGGAATGAAACAGAAGGCAATTGGCTGCACAGCTAAACTGAGAAGAAAGTGTGCATGTCAACTTGATCTTGGCAGAGCTTACACAAGGTGCTGGGATCCATGCTTATTGATTCACCTCTACTCCTACCCTCATTCACATAAACCAACACAGGAGATGTACACGAGCAGTAGCTGGTGTCACACAACATGCAAACAGATCGACACACAGATGTGATATGAAAAGTATTAAACCAGAAAATACTCCACACTGCTGTTAATAGACAGTCCTGTTCCTATAAGACATGGATGTAGGAAAGGACTGTAAATCTAAATAGCTTTTCTTTTGAAAATGAAACAAAGTGCTTTTTTCACTTACAGCATAATTAATACAGGATAATTACCTCTTAGGTTAACTATTTTCTGTAAAGAGCAAGCAATATATACCAATATGTCAAATGCTGTATAGAAAAGACAGAACAGTCCACTAAGTATCTCAAATTTTATAATAAAATGGCAGGTGCTCCTATTAAGCTGAAATCTTGATGCAGATGAGGGTTTACTTCCAGTGTTGATCGCCACTTCTTTTCTCAGTCACGTAACAGAAGGCAGCTGATCCATTGTGAAAGCAAGGCAAGGCAGTTTATCCCTCTTAGAAAAATACCCCAAATGCTTCAGGAGAAAGATCTTATCCACAGAATGATAAATGATCTACCTGTTGTAGGTCACAAGTTGGTTACTTTGGGGTATTGTTTCTTGTTTGCTCTTCTCTTTAAAAAGAACCACAAGGTAAAGGAGGATGTGGTGGTGTATGGGCTGAAAGTTGAGCATGTTGTGGCATTGGCTCTCCTCCCCTCAAAGCAGCAAACCTGCTGCTGCTCTCTGTGGCTTGTGTGATGTGCAAGCTCTTAGTTTTGGGTTAGTTCTTGTGTTTTACTTTTTTACCTGCAGTTGAATTTCAGACTGCTCCTGATGTGACAAAGATCACGTACCTTGACACCTGTCTGTTCTAAAGGATGGTGACAATGCCTGCTGGTATCTCACCCTGCTGGCAGTTTTAGTTCATCATCAATGAAGCAGCAGCCTCCTGTCCTCAGCAAGCTCACGAATTGCTAACTTCAGTTTTTTCTAAAAACTAAGCACTATCCAATTTTGCAGACAAGCAATGTGAAGTACACAGTGTGCCTCCAGCCAAAAGCCAGACGATGTCACCCCCTGGGCTAAAAAGAGTGAGATCATTATTTCCCTGACTGCATGGAGTACAGCAGTAGCAATACGATGTCGAGGAAGATTAAATCAAGGCAAATCCAAAGGACTGGCTGCACTGCACCTTGCTGTGCTTCATATCAGCACACGCTTAGAGGTGATGTGTTCATTTTGGATAATTTGCATCCATTTTGTGTAAAAATGAAGCAAAAGTGTCTGGTTGAAATTGCAATGGGGAAATTTAACCACAGTTTCCTCTGTCTACTTCACGTCCTCTCCTCCCTTCATGGCTGTATATAGCAACCATTGCCAGTTAGGCAATGCAAATAGAAGACTGTGGGGTTATCAGTTTGTAAAAACAGATGGAAAAACTGGATATATATATATATATAAAGAGAGGTTAGGAATAATAATTTCTATTGCTGCACAGAGGGGAGGAGTAAATGACCCTTTCAATTCCATGGCAAAACACAAAGTATTTAGCCTGAGAAAGTTCACCAACGCTTCAGAAGAAGCTACAGTTGCGTTTATAAGGCTTTTTTTGTCTCATAATATAGATGAAAAAATGCAGTTGTATTTTTTCATGCACACAGAGACTCTCCCTTGAAGGGCTCATGCTCTTGCTGCTGCAATCAGCACACTGCTGTGGCCAGTGCTGCAGACCCTGCTTTACTGGTGCTGCATTTACCAGTTTTGCTTCCTTATCTGTGGTGTGCAGATGGCAGATGCTACTGTGGATGTTGCAATGAGCTGGGATGTCACTTCACTTGTTTCAGACCAGGAGCATACTATGTTTGCCCCAGTGTTCCTGTCAAACAGAACTTCAGAACAGCAGTATAGTACCTGACCCCTGACTAAGTGTTTCCTAGCAGTGACCAGTTGGGTATGCCTAGGGCATAGTGGGGAAAGGGCCAGGCAGACAGCGAGAAGCCTCCTTGTTATCCTGTACCAGTACTGCATTCCCAAAGGCACTCCCAGTTTCCTCATCGCTGTTACCAATCCATTACCCTCCAGCTGTCTTGGGGAAGGAATCTGGGATAAGTAGTAGACACTTGCAAACTGAATTTTAATGAAAGTTGTCACGTTGTTTGCATAACCTAGATTTGTTTGTACTACCCCTTTAAGGTCCAGTATTTGTCAAACCCTAGAGATGTGACCTTTTTGTAGACGGTCTTAACCTTGGGGTGATTTTGTGCAAGCTTTTCCCTTTTGCTCCTTTTATTTTTCCTACAGTCAATCGCTTCAGCAGACATGGATTTGAATCAACTGGAAGCTTTCCTCACCGCCCAAACCAAAAAACAAGGTGGCATCACGTCAGATCAAGCAGCAGTCATTGCAAAATTTTGGAAGAACCACCGAATTAAGATCCATGAGAGCCTGATCAATCAGAGCCGTTGGGATAATGTATTGAAAAACATGAACTGGAGGGTGGATCTGAAGTCACAGTTGAGACACATTGATCCTATAAACACTCCTGTTGCAATAGTTGAAATGGAACTGGGAAAAAATGGACAGGTAAGCTTTCTTTTGCAAAATATGTAAACCTGATGTAGCTATGTATGTGTTGAGACATTTCACCTGTCACTGAATTCAATGCATCCAGATCAAGTCAGTTTATTTTTCACCACTGGGCCTTTAATGTACTTGAACTTGTGGTCTAGCTTTAGTGAGTGGTCAATGCAAGTTTTGCCTTTTTTTTTCTACCTTCATATATGTATTGAGAGCTTTCTTTAAGCTTGAAAAATCTGAGGATGTAGAATCAAACATTATCTTATAATTCTATTTATATTCCATGTACTGCAAAGTCAATTAGTTTTTTTTATGAAACACTAAAATTAGGTAATATCTAAAAAGCAGATGCCTAAAAAGAGTAAAGTTCACAAATTATGATGATCAAGCATGCCTTACATTCTAGAACAAATGAGGGGAAAGACTCCTTTTTGTTTTACATAACACCTATTTTTATGTTAGAAGTACATCTCTATTGCTTGTCACATTATGCAATCTGGCCTTATCTGCCTGAAAGATATAGATAGATAGATATCTCTGTCAGTGCTGAACACTGCATTTCTTTCTTAATCCTTTTAGTTCATCTGAATGTACAGCTAAAGGCACAGCTTTCCATCTTCATTTTTCTCTGTCGTTTTCTAACAGGAAATGTGTTTCAGTTTGGCATCTTTTTCCTTTGCAGTGTGCTAGTAAATCTTAAAACCTCATTTCTTAGCAATAGCTACTGCAAATTGTACCATGAGCTAATTTGGGCGTTTTGATGTTAATAGTTAGCATTTAGCAAGTTTTCTTCTATTTCATAATGTTTGAGTAGCTTATAGCAAGAGTACCTGAATTAGGGGTACCTCAGTGGATGCATACATGCACACACATGGAATATACCTATGCATACTGAATAACGGAATTGGAACTGCATGGCTAGACCAAGACCAGAATGAACATATAAGTAAACTGGGATCCTATAGACACAGTGTATGCTGTTGAAGGCATTCTGTTAGTTCACTTTTTTTCACAGTCTTTGAAAGCTTATCCTTCCGACTGTAGACGCCTTCCACGCATGGATCTCAGCAGTGACCACAGAATAACAGTGTGTGGTTTTAGGGTTTTTCCTAGGCTCAGGGAAGTGGAGTTTTCTGCTCAGAACCTTGTGATTGGAAATAATTACATTAGTAACAAATGGAAAAAGTTGGTTTTTAAAAACAAGGTTACAGGGAGTACATTATAATGAGTACATTGAGTATGTTAGTGAGCAAATGGGAAAAATACCTGTGTTCATTAAAAAAATACATCCTTAATTCAGCATTGCTGTTACATTTCTGTGCCAGTTTGGGCTGGGGAAGGGAATTACGTAGTTAGTGACTCTTGTTTTGAAATTGTTTTTTCCTCCAGGAATGGATTGTTATAGTAACAATCAGCAAGTACATTATATTTCTTCCACCCTGTGCAGCCAGAGTAAGAGATTTTTTACAGAGAGAGTAGTCAGGCATTGGAATTGACTGCCTGGGGAGGTGGTGGATTCACCATCCCTAGAGGTTTTCAAGACGAGACTGGATGTGGCACTTAGTGCCATGGTCTAGTAACGACAGTAGGGTTGGACTTGATGATCTTTGAGGTCTCTTCCAACCAGGTTGATTCTATGATTCTATGATTTCTGAGACACTGTAATTTCTCTTACCAAAGAGCCCCATAACAAAATCAAAATTAATTATTTTAGGAAGGCAGCTTCATATTTCAAAGGGAAGTGGTTGTGTGAATGTGTTTTTTTTAACTGCCATCAAACACAACTTTTGCCTCCTTTGCTGAGGGCAGCAGTGGGCTGTTGGTAAGTCTGGTGTGAATTGAACTGGTACTTACCAAAATAATCATGGAGTAATTAACACTGTCACCACTTGAGTCAGAATCTGTGTTTATTTTAAGAAGATGTGGTTTCACTTAGTCTATTGCTTTGTACTAAATAGGTTCTCTGCTGTAAAGCTTTTGTTGAGGCAGCCAACATCAGGCTGCACAGTCCTGTGATGGGATGAGTTTTTGGAACACAACATATCCAAATATGTCCCCAAGGACCTCCTGGAAAGATGGTTGCAGAGACTACTACTAGAGGTTGTACAAGTTGTACTTTCATGCTGGATCCTGCCCACAGACTTGAAACTGTCATATTTTATAGTCTTTATATGTATTTTGACTTTATTGTTAGCACTTTTGTACCTGTTCTAAATAGGAAATTTTGAAGCACATCAAATAGACATATATTGGTACCTTTCTGAAACTTAACAGAGAGCATCTTTTCTAAAACGTTGTCAGTCATAGATGGGATTTGGTGAATAGTGAAAATCCCCTGGCTTTGCAGAAGAAAGCTGGCTGATGATTCAGGAGTAAATTATTCACAACAGACTGTTTTCATTTGGACACTTGATAACGGGGGAGTATACAAATGCATTGATGTGTAATGAATTGACATTAATATTTCATGTTTCAACAGAAGCAAAGAAATGCTCTGTAGAAAATGTTCCTTTCCAGAAGTCACTCTGATTCTTCTCTATGTCTCTTGGATTTAGATCCCTACCCAGCAGAATGTCAAGGCTGTTTGATGGAGATTCTGCTCCTTTTGCTTCCATAAGTAACCTTGCTTCTTGCTTGCCATCTCTGAATTTTAATCAGTCAGTTCTTTCATGATGGAAAGACTGTATGTGTGAGAACTAACATGGTTAGAAATGGGGAGTTAGAAGTGAGTGGTTCATAAATGCCAGTAGACTGAGTTTACATTAATTTTGTCAAAGTTCTTGAATGTTTTCTGACCAGAGAGAGATATTTCTGGGTTTGTGAATCCATCACAACTTGTATGCATTAATTCTTGCTAGCCTTGCCATGACTGATGGTAGAAAAAAATGAACCCTTTTCCCTAAGTGCTCTTAAAAAGCACTTCTGATGAGAAACATTTGAAAATATCATGCTTCAGACTTTGAAAAATTTGGTTCAGGGTCTGTAACTTGCAGTTTGAACTCTTGTTCGGTAAAGATTTTACAGCAACATTTAAAGTTTCCTTTATGCTGGTGTGTAGTCTTTATACATCCTGGTTAAAGGCAGATGAACATGCTAGCCATGAAGTACTCTGCTTTGAAAGCCCATTTTCTTTAACAGTATGACTAAAAATAAAATCCTAGAGCAGTTGCACTTTAGCCTGCATTTCCCTTCATCTCATGATAGTCAGTGCTCATCACTGCTGGTTCATTCTTTCTTTTTGAACAGCCCATCTTTTCTTGGGTACAAGGGTTTTATCCTCCTGTATCTCTATACCTTGCTGGCTTTAGCGTGAATCATCTATAGCTACCTGCCCCCTCCTTTATACCCTTTTAAATCTTGTTCTCCCTCTCTGAGCATCACTGTAAAGCTCTTTTGGCATGAAATTTCAGCAGGCATGAATCTGCTGGGAGGGGCAGTGTAGTAATCTGGAGCATCATCCTTCTCGTGCCCTTTCTGGCCCTCTGCACCAGCACTGCTCCACATGGTGAGCAGCAGCTGCTGTGCAATGTTGGGTTACCTGCAGATTTTAGTCAGATTTATAGCTGGCCCTGCCATTAACAGAAAATTAACGCCCTGGTTTTGCACCGTGGCTTGGCATTAAGTCCATGATTTTATGGACTTTGTCCTTTTATTTTTCTCATGAGATGTGCCTTTCCCTTGGGGCTGTGTTCTTCCTGCTAGTGCTGTGGGCTGATCTGCCAGTAAGTTTTACTTTCTTGCAGCATTATGTATTTTGCAGTTTAATATCCAAGACTGATGAGATATTATAGACTAGCTTGAGAATTTGGTCTTGGCTTTTTTACAAAGTGGGTATTTTCACATGTGTTTCTTTTTGGTGCATAAGATATCAGTAATCCATGTAATATCAGTTCTGCAGGAGTTTTGTTGGATGTTGAAGCATATTTTGTGCTCTAGTTTATTATTTTTTGCCCTGGTTTAACATGAAGTTGGGATTCCACTGCAGGATTCTTCCCAGAAAGACCTGAGGAAGTCACATCAGGATTATGGATTAGAGGTTTTTTTTCCGAAAATATTGTATATCTCTTCTCTTTCCTTTTTAAAAACATCTATCTGACAGAAATGTCATGAAATTTAAGCTAGTAATATACAGTAGGTAAATACCACTATATAGAAAATACCAGAAGCTACATGTAAGCCTAGAAATTAGGGTCATTTCTTTCAAATTTAAGGGGGAAGAACAACCTTTCATTCCGTATAATTTTTCTGAAGTCTGAAATCACCAGGGATATGTATCTTCATATATAGCAATTATTTTGCTTTAAAGAATGGGCAGGCATTAGTAATAGCCTTTTGATAAATTGAAAATCTAACATTTGGTAGTTCTGACTGCATTTTGCTTGTCACTTTAAACTCTCCTCAGTGAGGTAAAGTACTTTCTGATGAAAGGACTTGTTAGATGAAGTGCACCTTTGTGTGCAACAATGTACCTGATGCTGAAAAAGTCTGAACTGTCAGCTGGCCGTTGACCTTAGGTATATCACACCTGCTCTCTGTTAACACCTGGGCCCAGACCCTGGTAATTCAGAGAAAATAATAGTTCAGGTAATAATTCTATTAATTCAAATGCAGAAAGAATTCATAAGTAATATAGACAATCGCCATGTGCTATATGCAGGAGGTAAAATGCTACCAGGATTTTGAAGGGCTGGAGCTTGAAATTTCATCAAGTTTTAGTTTGTATGACTATAAAGATTTAATTCTTTTATGTTCTGGGAAGGAATGAAGTAGGTCTCAAAGTAAACTGGGAGAGCAAATTTTTTTCCGACTTGTTAGTTCTGTCTATTTCACACAAATTGAGGTTGAAAATTCTGTCATCTGTGCTATAAACAAATCATATTTCTTTACAGCATTCACACATGTTGACAAATATTAAAATTGAACATGGTTTCACAGTGTAATAAAAAATATTAGAGTTTGTCTTCTGTAAATCTCATTACCTTGCTAGGATTGCAGACTGAATGCTG